GAGGCAACAAACGTGACGGAGCGCGTTATCATCTACCCATATTGCCGTGCACACAAAGCCAAACTACCTCAGTCCATCTGACACACACACAAACATAGACATACACACACATTCTCGTACGGCGACTGCGACTGGCGACGGAAGAGATAAAAATAGCAGCAGCAGCGACGGAGGCGGTGGTGTCAGTGTCAAACAGACAAGTTCTCCTGCTCGTCATCATCGTAATAACGAACGTGAAGGTTTGGTTCTGGTTGAAGGCGGCGCGGCGACCATGTCGTCGTCTGGACGGAAAGACCCCCCCGCTGAAAACGACACCGCTCCGGACACAGACGATACCGCGACACCGCTTCGCTACATCCAGACGAGAACCAGGCGACACTGCACCACCCTCCGAAAGCCTCCCCACCCCACCCCCGCCGTACCTACTACCCCCTGCAGGTTGGAGTTTAAGATATATCTCTTGGAGTTTTATGATTTCTTTCGTCGTGGAGGAGGGGGGAGGCGTACCACACCGTGTTAGGGTACCTAGTCAGCTAGGTGGGACGAGGTAGGGCGACGAGGTCGTTGATCGCGTCACACGGGGCGGGGCGGGGTGGTGGCAACACTACTGTCACCCAACGTCACGTGAGCGAGTACAGTCCGGGCCTGCAAACAGCAGCGCAGTGTGGTGGTTGCACCGCGACCCGTCGCAACATTGAGCGCGGCGAGGAGCGATAAAAACGCCAGTAAATTTCTTTTGTAAAACAACAACTAGAGTAGTTGCAAGCCGTTGCAGCCCCCCGGCCCCGGCCCCCCGCGGCCTGCACGCGAGCAGATAGGCGTGGCGGGCGATACCAGGCCGCGCCCACCAGCCCACCATTCAGCCGCTCGCTCTGCGCGATCATTCACCGGGCGCGTTTGTTGCGCAATGCTCCCGCCAGTTTGCGACCTACAGCAACTTGCGGGCCATGGAGTCCAACAGGAGGTGCGTTCCCGGGGCGGCGCGCCGCGGGGCGGGGCGGGTCGACTCGGGGCTATAAATACTCCTCCCCTCCCCCTCACCCCCCGGGCCCTGGGGTGGCCACGATGACCCGCAGGGTTGCACGGCCCGGGGCGGGGGCGGGGTGGCCGACCCGGCCGACCCGCGAGATCCCAAAGATAGCGACCCGAACCCGACCCCAGATAGACCCAGGCAGATAGGCGGCGCTCCGCCGCTTTCCGGGTCGCCCCCCCCGGGCGGCACAACCCCGGCCGGCCGGGGAGGGATCGATCCCCCCGGAGGAGAAGCGGCCGGGATTGCGACTAGACTGGGGGAAACTCGATTTCGGCGGCGCACACACGGCTCCCCGACCGACACACACGCGAAGCCGGCAAGGCGGGCGCCATGAGAAATTCATGGATGAAAAGGGCCAAAAGTGCCTCCAAGCCCAACCGCACGACGCCACGCCATCAAATCCTCGGGCCGCGCCGGGAGTGCGAGGCCCTGCCGTGCCGCGGGGTGTGGCTGCTGGCGGGGCCCTTGGAATCAATGGTGGGGCGGCGGGGCGCGGCGGCGGCGCGGCACGGAGTGGGGCGGTGCCGGCGCCCGGCCGCACCGAACCTTCTGGACGCGCAACGCGTATAGTGCGTGGCCGCGATACACCGTGCTGCACCGAGGGCCGCCGGAGGCGCGCCCGTCCGCCCACCTCCGCAAGGTCATTGACCAGCCCAACTTGGGGCACATCCAGGACTATGGGGGGGCTGGAGGGGGGGGGGCGTTCCACCCTTACTCCCCGTACGACGCCATAGTTCCAAAGGGAGCTGCGGCGCCAAACGACGCTATAACCTCAAACTTCAGACATAAACCTCAGGCCTGGGGGCCGCAGGGAGGGGGGCGGGGGCAGTGAGTGCAGAGCCGCGGTGCTCTCCAGGTACTCCCCGCCACGCCACGCTGGCGCTGCTCGTTCTCCTGCGCGCCGCGGGCCGGGCTCCGGGCCGCGGGCGCGTTGCATCAGGGCCCCGTCAGCGCCGACCGCGGCCTCGGTGCGCCCCAGGACACTCGCTCGCAGCTGGTGCTGCACTTGCACTCGTTGCACTTACCACGACAAAGTCGCTGCCGGGCGAGGTGGACAGGGAGGGACCCTCCGACTTGCACTCGGACACCTTCCTGCTGCGGCAGGTCTGCGGGTTGGAGCACTCCGAGCTGCGCCGGGACCGGCCGCTCTTGTAAATGTTCCAGTCGTTCTTCACTACCGGCATCATGAAAGCCATCTCGGTGGTTGAGGAGGACGACGAGCGGGCGACGCACAGGGGCACTTTCACTTCGAGCCACAAATCCTACTCGCTGCGCGTTGAGCCGCTGGTGGTGGTGCTGAAGCTGGCTGCTGCTGCTGCCGGATGCGCGGGGCGGAGCGGGCGACAACCTCCCGTCGTCGGCAGAGTGTGAGACGGTTGGGCGTGGGGCACAAGCGGGGCAGCAACTGCCGGACCTCGGTCGCGCTGCTGTGTGTCAGAGTCGTCCCGAACACTCCCTGAGCTGTGTTTACAGGTTGTCCTGACCACGCGGTTCTGTGTTGGCGCGAGGGGTTGGAGCGGAGAGCGGAGGGCGCGAGTCGTGTCGCCGTGAACTTGCTCTGCGAGCGGCACAACGTGAACTGAGCGCGCCGCGCCGAGGCGGGTCCGCTATAAGCATATTGATTGGCGCGGCGCGGTGACGTCACGGCGCGGGCCCCCGCCGGCCCCCGCCCGGCCGCCCGGCCCGGCCTGGAGCTTCCCTCTCCCTCGCACCCGCGCCACTCTCCCCTCCCGCTCGGCCGCTCCTTTCCCTCCTCCTCGCCCTCCTGCTGGTCTTCGGCCCCTCTGTCCTGTCTCCCTCCCTCCCTCTCTTTCTCTCGTACCCCCTCCCAACGAGCACGGCGTACCTCCACACCACTCACTCCCTTCTCCTCGCGGAGCGTAGGTATAGCGACGGCAGCGCGGCGCCGAGGGGCCGTACGCAGGGACACAGCGCGCGCCGTCTGTTGGCCGCAGCATGGAACTACGTCGACAGCCTTCGGGTTCGGGTCCCGGCGTCATCCGAAGGGGGCGGAAGCGCTCCGAAGTGGGAGAGGAGGGAAGTGAATTCGCAATTGAAAGAACATAGGGGTAGTGACTACATTACGAGCGTTTTACGGGTTCATTCCCTATGGCGATTGCGTCGATGCAGCTTAAGCAAGTTATTGCACCACTTGCGACAGGCACCCAAAGTGACCAGTAACAGAGTTTTAGCAGATGACATACTTAACTCTTGCATTTAACTAGAGAACAATAACATACAACTAGTATAAAAGTTGCAATGCATCAGCTCGCTGGCTTGCGGAGGGCTTTGGGATCATTCACAAATCACGTCCCATTCGCCGAAACGAAACAGCCAAGATCAGTCCGTGCAAGCTCTCATGGCGCCCGATAGATAGGCAACATCTTGCCTAAAGTGCATGCATGTGCTGTGAGGTGGCCTACCCTGAGTCCCGCAGGCGCTGAGCTCGCGTAATTGGGCGAATGAATCTGAGAAAAATTGACGTATTTTCTGGACGATTTCTTTGGCCCCACTCGGCCTCCGCGTGAGGTGAGCTCGTTTGTCTTGGGTCGGTAGAAAATTGGACTAACTCTCAATATAGTAAGATGAAACTCAAATTTGTATCATCTGCTTTCACAATCGGTTCCTCGACAGAACTTTCTTTCTTCCAGTAGCGTGGACACAAGAAGAGCTTTGCAGAAAACTACAAAATGTTTAGAAGTCATGAGAACTATCTGAACGGTGACTAAGTCAGGATAGAGATAAGACTTGACAAGTCAGAGGAAAAGCTACAGGGCCAGAACTGGATGTGAGATTAGGGCTTACATCACTTATCAGTCCACTTCAGATAGGTGCAGAAATCACTATGGGTACCCCCACACCTACGTAGGTAGATTCTAATGTACTTGCTTACGCACTACATTAATGCCTAATCAGAGCAAAATAAAATACATGCAGAAGGTATTAGTCATAGCTAAGAGTAGCTGTGAATAAAAATAATAGTAGAAAGTTGTTTCTGGCTTTAAAAAAATGAAATAT